AGGTCGTGTGCAGGGTGATTGGAGTTTGTGACTAACTTTAAAGTGAATGGGGCTGTTTGTGGGGCTGTTTGGGACACATAACATAGAGGGATGCAAGGAAACATGGAGGTAATCTAGTCCAACCCCTTCCAAAGGCAGGAGTCCTTCCTTCTCTTTGAGAGCTGTCAGTGGCAGACATGAGGGAAATGGTGTGTGTGTGTGTGTGTGTGTGTGTGTGCGTGTGTGTGTGAGAGAGAGAGAGAGAGAGAAAGAGGAAAAGACAGTTGTAGAGAGAGAGAGAAGAAGGAAGGAAGGAAGGAAGGAAGGAAGGAAGGAAGGAAAAGAAAGAAAATAAGTGGGGAAGAGAGACACAAGAAAGAAAGAAGGAAGGAAGGAAGGAAGGAAGGAAAGAAGGAAGGAAGGAAAAGAAAGAAAGAAAGAAAGAAAGAAAGAAAGAAAGAAAGAGAAAGGGAAAGAGAACTTATGATCACAATTGAGCCCAAAATTTTGGTTGCTAAGCAAGAGCATTGTTAAGTGAGTTTCACCACATTTTCCAACTTGGCCACACCCACCCAGTCACACTCCCACCAAGCCACTCCCACCCGGTCATATGACCACTGAGCCACTCCCACAAAACAGGCCACACCTACAGAATAGGTTCTAAAATATTTTGAAACCCACCACTGACTAGTACCATATATCTGAATGTTCAAGCAAGCTTTTTTTTTTTACTGTTTTCTCCAATCTGATCCCTTCTAAATGTATTAAACTGAAATTCCTATTACTGCTGGTCAGGAGATTAATATATGACATCTTACGATAACCATTAACATTCTTTAAGCAACAATCTATAAAAGATCTCAGCTTCAGCACTTCATTCTATCACTCTAACTTTTTCAAATGATCTTAAGATTTTAAGAAAGTATTCAAGGCAAAAGCTTTCTGATAAACTATACTGAACAGTAATCTATTGTTCTGAAATAGTAAGCTATACTTACAAACAAAATGTGTCAGTAGGTCCATTAATTTGTTTCATTTACATAAATATTCATTGGTTCCTTTATATACAGAGAAATACTAAATAAAAGATAGTGTAGACACAATTAAAAGAGCAAACATGCTTAAATAAAGTAGATCCTACAGGCCCTAAAGAAAACAAATTTTTAAAATAAATGAATTTTAACATATAAAGCAACTTACCACATTCAGAATCTACTGATACATTAATTTCAGGTTCTGCAGATCTTGAATTTCTCAACAAATTAGAAGAATGCGTATTTTTAATCAAAATGTTGGGTATATCATGATCACAATCTGGATCAAAGAAAAGAATAATGAAACATAACCACAAGCCAGTAAAGGTATTCCTAAAAGCTAGGTGCAATATTTAACCAGCTGTGGAATGTAGAGACAATATAGAGACAATGGTTTGTTATATAGCACATTTATTTCTGCCTTCTTTTAACATTTACCTATCCTCCTATTACTTCTGATGTGTTAGTGAAAAATGACCCCAAAATGGTTCAACGTCAGATAATATATCCCTTTGTATCTTTTGATAAACACTGGAACTCAAAGGATATTCCATTGATGCTCTGCTCTTTGAAAGCAAGGAAAAGGAATAAAAAGAGAGGGTTTTTTTAATGGTTGTCTGGATAACAAATGGTCTGGATAACAAACACAACCCCCCTAAACACATCCTGGACCTGACCAACCACTGCCTAACCAACACATACTTCATCCATAATGGACAAAGATACAAACAAATAGAAGGATTACCTCTCTCACCCGTCATCGCAAACTTATACATGGAACATTCTGAAACTAACGCCTTAGATAAATCTGAACACAAACCCAAATTCTGGCTTAGATATGTTGATGACACTTTT